GGCAATGAGTAGGACTTCCCTGGCAGAGGCTGTATACGCGCGGCCGTGTGAGAGTATTTCGAGAGGGAGAGCGGACTCTCCCCACTCTCGGCCGTACCAGGGCGTTCGGGGGCTTTCCAACTCCCTTAGGAGGACTCTCCATGTCCATCAACTCTGCTAAAGCTCTGAAAATTCGCTTTTCGTCTTCTCAATTTCGTAAACAACACTCCTCGCCGCGATAAGGCAGTGAGTAGGACTTCCCTGGGAGTGGTTGTATACGTGTGGCCATGTGAGAGCATTTGTGATTGACGTAATTCAGTGGTATGTAACCTTTTTGCCTGAATACTCATTAGTGCATTTCAGGGTGATCGCTAGCAATTTCTTCGCGTTATCAGAAGAGTTTCATTCGATAGTGGTGTATTCTTATTAACTCTAACTCTAGCACGATATCCTATGACCTGGATGTTACAATCAAGTATTTGCTAGTGAAATTGACTTCTACTGATAGTCATTTCGGTTAACGTTGTGTGGTGTTTGGTTTACGTTACTACAAGCTAAAACTTTTGTCTTTTAACTTAAATTGCTTGAACTTACTAAATACTGTTGACGTTTTTACAAAAGTGTAACTTTCACTTCAGAATGGACTTCATGTCATGGTACTGTTTTATGCCTAGGAAGTAAGAGATGTGACTATCAAAATGTTTTTATTCTGACTAGACTTAGAGTTTCACCTTTGGTGTATTAAAAAATTGTAAACATACATCCATCCTAAAAATTTCTAAAAAACGTCAAACGAAAGGTGTGAACTTTGTCTCGTTTGTTGTGGCCGTTTTTCTTTTCATTTAGAAACGATAAATCACGGCTTAAATGAAGGTAGTCTTCGAGGGTATTAGTGTCATTAGGATCAGTTGGTATGGATTATTTTTACGTAAAACGAATATTGTCTATTTGTCATTTTTATCCATTTCAGTGGTTCATGTGCCATTAAATTTTTTTCTTGTTTGGTAAGCATATAAATAATTAGTGGCCCTGTTTTTGAGAATGGTATTAACAGTGAAAAGATAATACTGAGAGCATATTTAGTGGGTTCCTTTTTGAGATTTAGACCGTTTACTATACACTGTAAATATCATCTAACATCACTATGCTTGTTAATTTCTGTATGAGTTGGTTTATTCTGTATATCACCTGTCGATACCGGTTTTGGTTTTATGTTTAATTGGGAATGTGCAGTGCTTAAGAGTAGAATAAAACTACTGTTGCTTGACTTCTAATAACTTTTCAGTTGACATCAATTCTTGCTCAAAATTACCTTTAGAAAGAACTTACTGTTACATATTACAGAAATAAACTTCTGACTGTAATTTATCGTCATTTATTTAAAACGATATAAATTCTTGTGATACACTACATAGCATAAGTGTTGCTATCTGATTCCACTTTTTGGGGAATTGTTATTATTAATTTACTAGTGGACATTCATTATAAGTACAAAACAATTCCTGATTAACATGCGTATGCAAGGAAATAAAGTTTGTGTACATGATAATCTAAAGTGGAAATTTTTGTTTTCACTTGTGATCACATTTTGTATGCTTAACAATTGAACATGGAAATAACATTTGAAGGATAACGTCAATAGTAAAAGAGATTATATAGAAAAAATGTTAGCAAAATTATATTTCACTGGGATAAAGATGGTTGTGATGTCTGCTACTTATTTTGATATATAAGTAGCATATAGCATTAGTGACTTAAAGATTACCGTTGTTAACTTTGAATTATTGGTTTGTAAGTGTGAATCCCACTCAAATATCTGATTAGGACAGGTTTGGTTAGTGTAAATATATCTTGAGATAGAAATCCCGACTGGAGGCCTTATAAACAAACTAAGTTTTTATAGGCTTGAAAAAGAAGTATGTAAATATTTCATTAAATTGCTCCACAAATGAATGCCTGATTTACACACTTTATGGGATTGCGTTTTAATAGATTAATAGTTCTCGTATTCCACTGCCCGCTATCAGTAAAAACAACTTCAAATAAAGTTCATCAGTTTAAATAAGTGGGCTGGTGATAATAGGAAATAAAACGTTATGTAATTCAAAAACTATACGTTGCTCAAATTGGAGTACATTACTTGAGATAAGTAACCGTCGTTGAACTCAATATTTTTAAGGATAAATGTTCTAACCAATATCTCTAATTTCTATAATAATACATCAATATAATTCATCACATGACCTTCAGGTTATTTCCAAAAAGCTGGCTGTAAAATAAATTGTCTGTATTCTCCATCTTCTTGTTCCTCCTTCCTAAGTGTATATCGTTATTGAATTGTAAACCAATTGTTTAGAACAACATTCATGTCTACATATACAATGTATATTTGTTGCCTACTTTAGTACGAATAGATGACAAATGGTTTGAAAAAAAGCACTGTTTGTTTTTTTCACTAAAATTAGGTTTTCAACATCAACTCCTGTAAGCTTCATTATCAGTATTGCTTAAGGTAAAGTGTATTAAAATAATGGAATTAGACGTTTCCCTATATTAATCCGAATAAGCGTAAATTGTGTTTTTATATACTGGAACTCATTGAAAATATGTCAGTGGATCAATCAATTAATTTTTGAACGTTATCACTGACTTCTATAAACCTGACTGGTTTAGGTAAAACAAGTTTATGCCAACAGAAAGTAGTTATTCTCAATAACTGAAAAGCGTGGATATGTCTTGTTTCGAGTTCACGAGGTATATTCGTAACCTAATTTTAAAGACCTTACCTGACTTAATTTCAAAATCTATAAGGATTGAGCAGATCGAAGTTAAATTTATCATTCTTTGATTTAATTCATCCCTTTCTAACTACATATCCCATTTTTGCCTTATTATTGAAATTATCTCGAATAATTTACATGCTATTTCGATAATTTCCTCTGCCGCTTTGTTAATGTGAAGTAGAGCGATTCAGAACAATAGATAATTATACCGTTTTCTATGCGTGTGAATGATAGGATTTGTCCTAACTAGGAAACTTCCTAATCTTAAAGTAGATTAATTGATTGTTCGATGATACATAGTTTTAAATAAGAAAAGCCTTTCGGAAAGTCACTATGCTATATTAGTAGGTAAGTTACAACGTTGAACCTTGTACGTATTCACGTCAGTCCAAAATGACGTACTCCATAAGCACAAAATAAAATTGTCAGACGAAATCCCAGAATCGTAAGGTTAGTAACAGTATGGTTGGTGATAGAAAACACCACGGATTGAAGATACAATTCTGGGAAATATAAATTAGAAGATCAGGAAATCAGAAGTTCGAAATTTGGACGAAAACATTACAAACGATTCTGAGCCATGTCATTCAAAGTCTCTAACCACCGGTTATGATAATCACGCGGACCACAACCAGGTAATCGAGACCTAGTAACATCGCTGAGTTTGTTTGTCAATTACTACAGGGATTGGTACCACATTTTGGTTTGACCACGACGAGCTTCCATTACACTCCCACAGTAGACAATATCTCCCGTCGAGGGAGTCAGTGGTTGAGCATACGCAACACGTGTCCCTAACACCCCACTCGATGAAGATTTACTATATTTTCAGTCGATTTTCCATCTTTAGCTAGTACCCTATTCCTATCCTTGGCATTGTTGACTCAGTGATCTCAAAATACACGAGCGACGCTTCACAGATACCTTTGATCGAACACCGACAACCAACGGATATTCTCTATTCGTAATAATATATATATTTGCGAGGACAGGTACACCTAATTTTTATGTGCATGATCTATAAGTTACAACATTGGTTTGCTTACAGTATGCTTCTCAAGTAGCGTTGTTAAATAAGTGAAATAAATAAAAGTAAGACAGTACGTCAAGTCGAACTCCAAGGGGTTTTCTTGCTGTGACGTTTCTATGTCCGGTAAGACGCAGCCAAAGTCGTTCTGGAACTAGAGTGTGATCCGAGTGCAGATGTGTGCTCCAGAATAAGCTACAGTGCTCTATTGAGCCCCTACAACGATGACTGACGGTACTGTTTTCTATTCGAGTTCATCGTTAGGTCGAGTTTGGAGGTCACTATGTCTAGCGACTTTCCTTACGCTTAAAATCGATGCTTACTAGCGATAAGCTATTATCTTAGCATCATTGGAATAGCTGAGTGTGGTTGTTTATGCACTGAGCCGCAACATCGTCAGACTCACTTAAACCTCTTCTACCATAAAATATCTGTGTATTTAACTTTCTGAGAGAAGGTCAAATAATTTTCACACAATTCTTTCAATTTCCGAGTTGCCATCTGTGGAAGTATAAACAGATATAACGAGAAGACAACGGTGTGTTTCCATGAATGTTCTATGCTCATGAATCCTTATCGATATTGCGTTATTATGTGCTAGAAATGTACTTATATTGTGGTCACATGGTATCAATATGAACAGCAATATGAAAATCTGCGAAAGGAAATTAATTCATAATGAAAAGCATCTGCCGGTCCATCATGAACCTCTGATTGGATGGGGTCCTTCAGATAATGGAATTTAGTGACAATCGTGATGTAATTTCATTGCGCATTTTTCATAACAGTTAGGTAAACTCCGTTAACTGGAAGAAGTCTCTCCCAATTCTTTTTACTGAACTATATCTCTTACTGCCTAATATAATCATTCACTCATTTTGTTGTTGTACTCCTTCCTTCCATTTCTTCACAATGTTATCTTTTTATTCGTGTTCCGCACAAAGTTTCGGTCAATAACTATTGAATTTTATATCGACTAAATAAATAAAAAGTCAGTTCTAAAACCAATCTGATTAATTTATTTCAATAGTTGCACTGTTCGAACGTGGGTGAACCGGAATTTCGAACAGATCACTATCATATATTCGCATCAAGTTCTTAATCTTAAAAATATATTTAACACCATTATCTTTATGTAGAAACCACTTTAAATCTAACCTTTTCGTTTTTGAATGTATGTTTATTTTCGTTGTTGTTATCTGTGCCTTTAGTTAACTCCATCCGATGCGGATATTCAGCAATCTCATAATCGTCAAATTAACTTGGCTAAATCCTATCGACCACAACCTCCGGCAAGTTTATCTTATTCAGCAACTTCTGCGATCAATACCTCGTTAAATACTGCAATCAGCAGTGATTTAATTCGTGTTGATGGTAATTTAGGGATCAATTTCCTGTAAAACATCATTTTATGTTTAGGTCTATTAAGCCAGGATTCTCAACTTGGTGGCAGTGGTACTATTTCTGTTTCTGGGACATTGATGACGAACGATTGGACTGGTCCTAGGACGTCGGGAGCGCTAAGTTCTCGCTCTGCAGAAGAGCTAATGCAATTGGAGGAGAATCCCGATGTAAATTTAAGTAAAACGAACTCACATGATGTTGGTGAAGTTGGTATGATAGATATAAGTATTGATCAAGATGGATTGGTGAGTGTTTTTGAATTCGTTTTTATTTCATTTGAATGAATTTTTAAGTGTGTAAACACCTATCATCCTACTTGGCACTCCCTACATCAACTTCAGTGTTTGTCAATAGAGACGGTTTCGTACACTGAAACATATTTATCCTTCCTTGACGTGGCTTTTTTGACGTTGACGTTGCCACATGTATTTTAATTATTTTGAACTTTTCTTAGACCCATGCGGTTGATTTTGGGCCTAAAAGCGTGTGGTAAAGTTATTAATATCACTCAGCCACTTAAATCTAAGTAGGATAATTCAAGACTTCTATTAGTGATACAAAAATTGAAAGTTTTAGATGTGTTCAAACCATGCTATTTTGATAGTAGGTGTTCACTTAAAGCGTGGAGTTAAATGAATGATGTATCAATGTCGTATTCAACTAAAGTTGCTGAAAAATACCGTAAGTGACTGATTGTGTCCTTCGGTGATCGATTTTCTAGTTTTGCAAGAAAAATGTCTTATAATGTATTTCTTAATTGTAACTCCATGGCTACATTATCCGATTTTCTACAGTATTCATTTTTGAATCGTATGTGGGACATTCGCCGGCGTTTTATTGTAGATATGGGAATTAAAGTTCTTATGTACATTCCTGTTATTTCACTATAATTGAAATCCACTGTCTTAAGTAGGAGTATGTTGGTGAATAAGGACAATACATCTAATGATATCATGAAGTTATTCTTGACTGACAGATTTTTTATATTACCAACATATTCATAGGAATCTTTGACACTATGCTTGACACTTTCTTTGTGTAATGGTTTGAAAATTTGCACTAACCCTTTTGTTATAATATGATAGGTTGTTTTTTATATTTAAAAGTTATCGGAGGGGTGAGCCTTTTTTGTATATTTGGCAAACCATATAGCCTTGGTTCTATTGCTCTTGTAGGTCTCAACATTCCGAACACTTTAACCTGTTTCAATGAGTATTAGTTGTTTTTCAATCCTGTCTGCCACATCATTCTTCACTACCAGCTTTTGAAATTTACTCTTGTCATTTAAAAGGGCCTTCATTCTGTTTAAATAGTTGTTTTTATCCATGAGTACTACGCCATAACCTTTGTCTCGTTTCGTGATTATTAAATTGTCATCAGCTTTTGTTATGCTTGAAGAAACTACGAGATCATCTAAAATCAGCCAACGGAATGAAGAATCAGCAAAACAACGACAAGTTTAACTTTTCCAATGCGGCTCAGCCCCGCTAACTATAAAGAGAAGACCTTGTTCAGGTAAGGGAAGGTTATTCCACAAGCATCCAGAATCACGAACAACCAAGCACATAACTCAAGAGTATATATACACAGCATAAAAATGTCCTTCGGAAACGTCATAAAATAGCATATTAAAAGAAGGAAGGAACCAATGACATTTAGGGTCTTTTCAAATGGGAAAAACAATCTGAAGGTAAAAATGAGTGCTTTTGGAGCGAAAACGAAAAATCCGAATTCCCAAAATAAAGTTACAAAAATAAGACGTTTATTAAATGATTTCTGAGGATCTTGCATCCCTAACAGTTGTAAGTTTCTTTAAAGGTTCCTTATATTTTCTCGTCAATATCCCTTACAAATTATGTCGGTGATTTGGGTATCCATAGCAACAGTCCACTAGTGTTGATTTAAATATCGACATTATCTTTTCATGAAGTTACTGGTTCTGGCGTTTGAGCATAAAGGTTTTCAAATTGAATTTCAACGTCCATTTTATTAACCTTTTCCTTAGAGCCGCGATACTCATTGCCTAATGGTAGCGTTTCTAACTCAGTCTTATTGAACTTAATGTTCTAAAAATTGTGTACATACTGATCTGGATTAGATAAAAATTTCATTTCTGGGATCTATTTGTCTAGATTTTTATTAAATTTCTTTGTTCGGTTCATTAAATTCTCAATTATTTTTAAACGAACACTAAATCCACTGATTAATTTTTCCACAAAATATTTTAATCTTACTAAAGTATGAAAATAACCAAAAATTGGAGTTATGTGCTGCCATGGTTCGTTTAGGCGATTGGACAAATGCTCAACGTCTGTTAGAACGCCTACCTGGTTACTGGGCAACTACATATGAACCTTTAACACGAGACATATGCAATTTGTTGCATTGTTTAATTGAACCTTTGTACAATAAGTAAGTACTTAACGTATTCATCCGTATATTTTTCATATTAAAAGCCACAAAGTTATCACAAGTAAATATTTCTATAAGTTATTAAGGGTTAGATATATGAGTACCATCGTTAAGCGTTTCTAATATTTATGCATTCATTCGGTTAAAAATTTTGAACCTGTCCCAGCTTAATCTGGGCGAAATAAATTGTTATTCACGTCTACCAATCTTGGTTCCAAATCCTGATGCCCAAATATGTACCTAGTTACCAAGCTTTCTGTTGGGATATTCAGAAAAATATCCCAAAAACAATTATCCGGTTAAATCTAATGCTACCCTTGAACGTTAAATGGTGTCATTTTCCTATTGGACGTTTCCCTACTAATCAATATTTATTTCGCGTGTCATTTCCCCATTGGTCAATATTATTTCACGTGTTATCTTTCTGTTGGTTAATATTTATAGTAATCCTAACTGTATAAATATGCATTTGTTTGTAAATCATCATTCGGCTTCTGACCCCATAAACAATTTTTCATCTACGGTTCGTGTTCTGATATATTGGAGATTGGGAACAGTATTGGGGTCGAACTGGGATATCTGAAGCTAGTCGATCGGTAGAAATTAGAGTAGTCACCTCGCGATACACAATAATTTGGCGACGGAGATTCAGCAAAGAATTTGGTGATTAACCATGGATCCAGCCAAACTAGAAAAATTGTTCGAACAGCAGTTGAAGCTGATGGAGATGATTGCTCACACGCACATATCTTCTCGAGTTCCAACTACACCGACAATTCCTGAATCAGTTGATGGTATTACCAGTGGTATTTCAGAATTCCTTTATGATCCTGATGCCAACATTACATTTGATACCTGGTTCAGACGCTATGAAGACCTTTTCAAAGTTGACTTTGCTGACAGAGATGATGCGTGGAAGGTGCGTCTCCTGCTTCGTAAACTTGGTCCATCCGAGCTGGATAAGTATTGCAACTTTATTCTACCGCAGAACCCACGTGACCGTTCGTTCGACGCCACTATTCAGTCCCTTAGCCAACTTTTTGGTGATCATCACTCACTCTTCAGTACTCGATATCGCTGCTTAAAACTGATCATGAATGAGTCCGATGACTTCCTGACCCACGTCGGCGTTGTTAACCGTGAGTGCGAACGATTCAAGCTCAGATCCCTCACTGAAGACCAATTCAAGTCCCTAATACTCATATGCAGTCTTCAGTCACCCAAATTCTCCGACATCAGAACTCGTTTGCTTAACCGCCTTGAACAAGATCCAACACTGACACTTAATGCGATCATAGACGAGTACCAGCGCATCATCAATCTGCAGCGTGACACCACTTTGGTTCAATCTGGTGGCCAGGGTGGTTCCGAAGTTCATGCTGTTCAGCACCAAAGAAAATCTTCGAGATCGACGACCTCGAGTCTTTCGAATGCCAGCGCTGTTTCTGTCTCTAATCGCTCTAAACCGGCTCAGAAGAAGCCCCCCTCTCCATGTTGGCACTGTGGAGCCTGGCATTATGTGCAGTTTTGTCCATTCAAACAGCATGTGTGCGATCGCTGTCAGAAAGTTGGTCACAAAAGCGGCTTTTGCAAATCCAACCGATCCAATAACCGTCGAAATGCACAGACGCAGCGTCGTTTTCACAAAAAGCCGATCACCTCATCAAGGAGTTTAGCAGCAGTCTTCCATACTCATGCCGCGACTCGACGCAAATTTCTGACCCTCTCAATCAATGGTCAGCCAGTTCGTTTGCAGTTGGACACTGCATCAGATATCACCATTCTGTCGAAAAAGACTTGGCGAACCTTGGGTCAACCTCCCATCAAACCATCCTCTCAGACAGCCGTCAGTGCCTGTGGGGGTCATCTCCGCCTTCATGGTGAACTTTGTTGCTGCATTTCATTCAGAGGTACAACCTTCAATAGGACATGCTACATCACCAATTCTCCGCTCAACCTTTTAGGTTTAGATTGGTTCTAAGAACTTGGTCTCGCTGATCTTCCTATTAACGCTATCTGCAATCAAGTTCAAACTACTGCATCGACACAACAGCATGCTGAAGACCTTCGAAAACGATTTATTGAACTATTTCAGCCTGGTCTCGGACTTTGTACCACAACTGAAGCTGTTTTAAGACTGCAGCCAGAAGCTACGCCAGTTTTTCGCCCAAAGCGTCCAGTCCCATACGCATCTTTACCTCTGGTTGACGCTGAACTTCAACGTTTAGAAACTGAGGGTGTTCTGGTACCTGTTTCTTATTCATCTTGGGCTGCACCAATTGTGGTTGTAAAAAAATCTAATGGTTCCATACGCATCTGTGCAGACTTTTCCACAGGACTCAACGCGGCTCTACAACAGCATCACTATCCGCTGCCGATCCCAGATGACTTATTTACTATTTTAAATGGTGGTACCTATTTCGCTAAGCTGGATCTGGCAGATGCTTACCTTCAAATTCCAGTCGCTCTAGAATTCAGAGAGTTGTTGACAATCAACACTCACCGAGGACTTTTCCAGTATACCCGGTTACCCTTTGGTATCAAAACTGCTCCAGCGATCTTCCAGCAGATCATGGACACTATTCTAGCAGATGTTCCTGGTGTTGCTACGTACCTTGACGATGTCCTCATTGTCGGCTCAACTGCTGATGAATTGAATACCAGAACTCACTTAGTTCTGCAACGCCTCCAGGATAATGGTTTTCGCCTTCGCCCAGAAAAATGCCATTTCTTCTTACGTTTCGTTAAGTACCTGGGGTTTATCTTTGATGCTTCCGGACGACATCCTGATCCTCAAAATACTTACGCAATCCAACAAATGCCTGCTCCCACTGATGTCTCCTCACTGCGATCATTTTTGGGAATGATTAGCTACTATTCAGCATTTCTTCCATCACTGCATGACGTACGATATCCACTGAATCGTCTGCTAGAGAAGAATGCTACTTGGAATTGGTCACCGCAATGTGAGTCAGCCTTTTCAAAACTTAAAGCCATGCTAAGTTCCAATCTTCTGCTAACCCACTACAATCCGAAACTACCCATTGTGGTTGCTGCTGACGCTTCAACACATGGACTGGGTGCCGTACTCTCACATGTCTTTCCCGATGGGTCAGAGAAAGCGGTGATGCATGCTTCGAGAACACTAACACCTGCTGAAAAACGCTACGGTCAGATAGAGAAGGAAGCGTTAGCCCTAATTTTTGCTGTCCGGCGATTCCACAAATTCATTTACGGACGCCGTTTCACCTTGCTCACAGACCACAAGCCCTTGTTATCAATCTTTGGATCAAAGAAAGGCATTCCTGCCCATTCTGCTAATCGTCTTCAACGTTGGGCGTTGGCGTTATTGGGGTACGACTTCGACATCCAGTATCGACGTTCGGAAGATTTTGGTCAAGCGGATGCACTGTCCAGACTTATCAGTAACCATTCTACTACTGATGAGGACACACTCATAGCCATAGTATCAACCGAAGAGGATTCCGGTGCTACAGTATTAGCGAATGCCATTCGAGCAATGCCTGTTACCGCTGAAGATGTTCGGGAAGCTACCAGAGAGGACCCGATTATCCAAAAAGCGATCACCTATGTTCAGAGTAGATGGCCAGTTAAGCAGCTGAGTGGTGATATGCAACAGCTAGCGAATCGTCGCAGTGCTCTCTGTATTGTTAACGATTGTCTGATGTTCGGTGATCGCGTAGTAATTCCAACAACCCTACGTTCCAAGATCCTACACCAATTCCACTCTGGACACCCAGGGATAAACCGTATGAAATCCATCGCTCGCAGTTATGCATATTGGCCGAATATGGACAAGCAGATTGTCGACTTCGTCAAAAGATGCTCGCATTGTCAAAAAGCTGCGAAAAATCCTCCTAAGTTGCCTCCAGTACCCTGGCCAAAGTCAGAAAAACCCTGGTCGCGAGTGCATATTGACTTCATCGGACCCCTAGATGGTACCACATATCTGATACTGGTTGACTCCTACTCCAAATGGCCGGAGATATTGCCAATTGCGCCACCCTCTACAACTCGAACCATCAAATTCCTTAATCGGATCTTCCCTCAGCATGGTCTTCCAGAAACAATAGTAACAGACAATGGTTCGCAATTCACATCTAGCCAATTCCGAGAATTTTGCCTGCAAAACTCGATAAACCATGTCCGTTCTCCGCCATATCACCCGCAATCTAATGGACAAGCTGAAAGGTTCGTTGATACGTTTAAGCGAGCTATGCTTAAATCACGAGGGGAGGGGACCACAGAAGATATCATAGAACGATTCCTAGTTGCGTACCGGACGACCCCGCATGACTTATTGCCAAACTCCAAATCCCCTGCTGAGATGCTTATGGGGCGAAAGCTACGGACAGTTCATTGTGCGATGAAACCTAAGCAAGTGGCGCAACAAAAACCCCAGATGAAGAATACTCGAATTCCCTACGAAGTTGGTACAAAAGTGTACGCGCGAGACTATAGACACGGATGTGATAGATGGGTAGAGGGTGAAATCACAAAGAAACATGGGGACGTCATGTATGATGTCAAAGTGAACCAAGAAATCTGGACCAGGCACCACAATCAAGTCAGGCCAAGGGAAGCGAAGGAGAAAGAAGCAAGTACAAAAAGCGTTCCACTCGACCTGCTGTTGGACACGTTTAAACTTCCGCCAATACCTCCAACAGAGACGACTAAGTCATCTACTCAAGTAGAACATCCTTCTGGTTCTGTGTGGTTGCCTCGGAGGTCGGATCGCAAAAGAAGACACCCAAAGAAACTTCAAGTAAATCCTCGATTACGTCGCTATTAACTTTTCCAAGGGGAGGTGTTGGGATATTCAGAAAAATATCCCAAAAACAATTATCCGGTTAAATCTAATGCTACCCTTGAACGTTAAATGGTGTCATTTTCCTATTGGACGTTTCCCTACTAATCAATATTTATTTCGCGTGTCATTTCCCCATTGGTCAATATTATTTCACGTGTTATCTTTCTGTTGGTTAATATTTATAGTAATCCTAACTGTATAAATATGCATTTGTTTGTAAATCATCATTCGGCTTCTGACCCCATAAACAATTTTTCATCTACGGTTCGTGTTCTGATATATTGGAGATTGGGAACAGTATTGGGGTCGAACTGGGATATCTGAAGCTAGTCGATCGGTAGAAATTAGAGTAGTCACCTCGCGATACACAATACTTTCAATTTACTCAACAATCCAGTCTTTCTAATCACTGTGTTAGCTCACTACATTGCTTGAAACTATTAATAGGGTTCCGATGGTAGCCTAGCGTCTAGTCCACGAAAGTGCTCCACTCTTTACATCATACTACCTACAATAAAAGGGAGTATTTCAAGCACTTTGGTCAAATTATTAGGTTTGTGGTTCAAATCCTATAACTATGTCTTTCCTCAGACGGCCTGGTAGTCTCACTGACCTCTTCTCAGCTTGACTCAAATTCGATCACATGGAACTGTATGTAGCAAATAAATTATCTATTTGAATGGAATTGAGTTGACTGATTGTTTTGTCGCAAAATATTGTTGATTATATTTTGTATAACACCGTACTATTCCTCAGATTCTTGTGTCGTAGTTTATTTTTGATCAAGCTGCTCAAGACAAAATTGGTATCGTAGCTTAATGCTTGTAGATATTAAGTTACATAGCTTTCAGTGACTCAGTTTAGTTTATTCGTGTCTCATATGTTACTTCTCCAGTATATCTCTTGTGTTCAGTTTCCCATTGTAGTTCATTTTAATTCTGTTGATATCAACTATCGCTGTGCTAATTTAAGATATAAAGGCTTGAAAAAGCACACATTTGTGTCTTAAACAATGAGTTAGTTAACTGAGTCTTCCGAGAATTAATGATATATTGCATATTCAGACTCTGTGGTTTCCATACGTTTTGTGAAATTAAAATGTTATTTATTGCTCGGTATTAGTCTTTTTCTTATGCAGTTTGAATCATAAAAATTTTCCTAATTGTTTTAGAGCTTGCCCTTTACCTGCCTGTCTACAACGTAATCGTTTTCGACCGAAAATCGAGTCATTCAAAGCACTAAATGCATCTATTAATGTACATGTTATTGATGAGAAATCGTCTGTTGATTGTGAAATACATGAAGACAAACGGACCATTAGAAATAATAATAATAATAATAACAATAATAATAATTGTATTCTATTATCACCTGTTCATGATTTTGCTGGCCTTGCCAAGTATGTAATACCGATAGCAATTTATTTAGGCCCGCATATGTCATATGATTTAATATTAATGGTGAAGTTTTGTCGTCTTGGTCAAATATATCTTTCTGAACAACAAGTGAGTAGCTCATCCGTAATAATATTCGGATTTCTTTAAGCTTATCATTTTATTTTATCCATTTTATATATTTTGGAATACTTGTAAATGATAATCTAGGTGGTGAACAATGAATGATTACGAAAGAAGTGTTTAGTAAAAAATTAAGAATAAAATTTTATTGCAGTTGAACATTTTCATGCACTCGATTTTGAATCAAACTTTCTTTTTGTGTAAAGTGCTAGTGGTAACAACCAATTGCCAAAACCAAATTAGATAAAGTATGGGATTTGAAACATGATAACTTATGAAGTTACTTTGTATGTGTATCTATTTTTATCGATCGGTCATGTCAACTGACGAACTATTGGAATTTAAGACTTCGGGAACCATGTGTTCATTATTTTATGGTATAGCGACGACAATAATAACAATTTTTAGCGAAGCAGCAATCAGATTCACTGAAAGAAATTAAGAGGAAGGACAAGGGAAATCATAAACAGCATCAAGAAGAACCTAGTAAAGCATTTTAAGACAATAACCATTTTTGTCTGTCTCTCATGCATCGATTCATAAATTTATATACGTCTTGTAGTTTTTTGTTGCTAAGTAATTATATTAGTAATAATGGTAGTATTACTATCTATCACACCCTACAAAAACGATGTTTTCTTTTTTATGTCTGTTACAAAATTCTGGTAAACATAACTTTGAATTACACATTTTAACATAAATTCTTGATGTGTTAAATGGTTATAGGTGATACGAAATAATAGATCTAGGTTTCATACTACTTGTGACACATCAGGAAGATCTACTTCCAATCTTGTGTTAATTAATGCTCCTTGTGGAATTCAAGTATCAACCATTGCAAAGCGGACAAACAGGTAAACATCATCAACAGATACCCTGAGACATGTACATCGACCCAAGTTGCCATACTGTGTTAGCATTACGATATAAAAATAAAATGAATTGCTCTAGAGATCGAAATGATACAGTACCAAAAATACAAAAGATCGAATACTAGAAATATGCTTCAAAACGAGAGAATGGAAAGGTATCTATAAAGGAATTTTAAAATTGAAATGAAAATAAGATGTAACTGCATTAGCACCATTATGAATATTTGTGAGTCATGTCACCCAAAATCTCCAATTTCTGATTGCGGTTATCATGTGGGCCCCAACGAGTTAGCCTGCATCTCCGCACATGCCTCAGACCCACAATCATTTACTTCATGGTCTAGTGCGATGTCTTGGTTTGGCCGTCTCTACCCTTCTTCCAACCTTCTCCTACACCAACAGACATTGGGTTTTTTGTAGGTAGTGGTCTATGGTTTCGTGCTGGCCATGCTAAATTACTTTACGTCTCAATTTAGTGCACATAATGTCAAGCCACTTAGGATATTCGTCACACTAAAACTTGGTCCATAAAATCTTATCGACACTAAATGACTAGAGAACTATGACACTGGTCATCACATTCAGTGACTAATAAGATGTTAACATGAAGTCATTTTTTCTCGGTAACTTTCTTTTAGTCAAATTGGTCATTTTAGGATTCTGTTCATCTTTTTTTTATTGTGTAGCAAAACCTTCGGTCTGACAAGATTGGAATTGTTTATCAAGGATTTTTTAATTTATTAGATGAAGTGCTTCTTCCGTCGTTGAGTTTGGTTGATGCTAATTGTTGTTTGGCTGAAGAGATTTGGCAAATGTTACGATTTTTGCCTTATGAACATCGGTAAGTTTTGGTTGGTGTTATGAAAGTACTTGTCTCATGTTTTTGGTGTTAGGTTAACTATTTGAAAATAAGCTTTGTGCAAAAACTAAGATCACATAGTCATGTCTTATGTTTTGAAAATACAATAAGAAGACGAAGATTATAACTATGTGATATATTAGCGCAATACATTTCGAACAATCTGACCACACATATACTTGTTAAGAACATTTATCTATAAAAACAAAAGGTCAACTTGACTAGAAATGGGGTAAGAGGAGACAAGGATAATAATAAGAGTAATAATAATGTGAACACAGTTTGATACCTAATCACTCTGGATAATAAGTCGATATTACCAGGGTAGGTTTAAGGTAAGAACAAGCTGTTATTGAATACACAAAGGGGGTTTGAATTTTCGTATGGCTAAGGCTTCAATAAACCTTAGTATATTCCCTTTTACACTTTTATACAACAACACAAAAGTCGAGTTTAGATCAATCTTATGGCCTGTTTCGATTATATGTTTCGCAATAGAGAATGATGGATGTTTATCCTCTGCTCTTATTGCGTCACTTGATTGTATTTGTTTCTGCAACCATTTTAGTACCTGTTCAGACACCCTAATGTTGAGCTCACGATTGCTCCTCCCTAAGTATGTGTGGCCAGATACACATTTAAATTGGTAAACACAGTGGGATGTGACACAACCGTTTTCGTGTCTTCTAGGTTTTGGATGAAGCACACACCTTGTTCTTTCCATGATAATGACCTTTACTGCTGGTACTATTGACTTATTGTCCAGAGTGATTAGGTATCAAACTGTGTTCATATTATTAGTATTACTCTTATTATTATTTATCAAAGGGAATAATTGCTTTACATGTCTTATGTGTATGCTAGTAATAATTGATGGATTACTTAACGTTAAAAAATCCGTGTTGAGATTTTATAAAACGTTTTTGTCCAGTTGCTTCATTACATGCCGTTTGTTTCTCGACTATTCGGATTTATCAACGTTCGTCTATAGCATACAGGTAGAAGAAAATTTTGATTCAGGTGTAATAGCGTCATGGTTTGAGTAGGGTCACTGTACGTTTGGTTACTTAGATCAACTGTGGCGTAGACGAGGTGTTGGTCTGACAATCAAAAGGAATTGCACTACTCAACAATCTTCCACCGTGTACTTTACAACGGCTGTGAGACGTTGTCTGTAAAGGTAGAGGACATTCGTAGTTTACTAGTATTAAATCGTAGTTGTCTTCGAAGAATTTTTTGAGTATGGCGGGACCACTGAGTGAGTAATGCTGATGCTTGAGGTAGGGTAGTAGGCAAATATGGCTTACTGGTTGATGAATTTTTCAAATCTTCATGTACATAGTTGGTTGGAACGTGTTTTAAATGAACCTAACTGTTGCTTTCCTTGACATGTTATGTTGTGCAGTATATGATTTTTTCGGGAGAAATCTGATAGAGAACAAACCGATACATGGCATCCATTCACGAAGTCATTAACTGCTTATCTGTGTCGCGTTGCTAGGTTCGGATTATGTAGTAATGCTTTGATGCTATCTTACTCGTCATCAAGCTTTATGTAGTATTGTGTACCATTTCATTAACTCGAGTTTAAGCATATATTTGCCTTTGGGTACTATTTTCATTCAACTTTGGGCTTATGGTTGCCTCTTGTAAATGAACTTCGCCAAAGATGGTTCATTGGTTATTACTTAATAACTTGGTCTCAGCTGTGGATTAATCGCTTGATAGGAATTTATTTTTGAAATGGTATGCAGAATTTTTTGATCAGGTGGATTTTTCTAATAATGCTACATCCTCTGAGTCGAGTGGTCTTATAGTCAATCTTTCCTGATTGTTCCAATGAACATTATTTTGTTGTCAGGTCAGTCTCTTACCGTGAGAATAAATGTTCTTATCTTCAAGTGTTGACTGGTTCAGTTTATTTTAATTTATCTGTCGTTTGCAAATCGATTCAAATCTTTCGGAAACATTCGCTGTGTTAGATGTAGAGCTCTCACTAGCTGATATATACTTCCTGTTGATTATTCAATCAAATCATATAGTTAGGTAATCACAATTGCATCAAAAACTTTGGTTATATCAGATGTGTATTTAAATTTTACGTTGCTTTCCTCATTAATCATATCCGTATTTTAGAAATTATTTTCATTCTATTTATTCTAATTTTATTATCCTTACAAAAAAGATATCGGTTATATGGACAATGGAAACATTTCAACGTTCAAACTGAACCTAGCCTAATACGTCGGCGGGCTCAAGTAATGTGCTATGCTAAGGCGATTATGAAGTAAATATAACATACAGTCTTGTTTTTCCCTTGGTGTTGCTATTGATTTTTTGCTAGCCTTATTGGGTTCGCGTACTTCACCATCACTTTCCTGGTGAAATAGTAATTGCATATGAAACTAAATGTAGCTGTGGTTGTTGGTCTATTCACGCCTTTTTTGGTAAATATATCAAATGAGATTTTTAAAACTTCAGATTTATTTTAACGCTTCCCAGTCGATTATATTGTAACTTACTACATAATGATCCTTCTATGAGTTGCGACTCAGTAATTGAACGATCTGACTTTCAGTCACCGGCTTAATTGTTTGAATTGTGATCCTTCGTCTACTTCGGTTTGAGCGATCTAATGGTATTGTAGTGAACAAGAACACAAGTGGGGGTAATTGAAAATGTTTGAACACAAAATTACAGAACATCTTACTAAAATCATAGAGCCTTAAGGTAAATACTTAATTTCCAAAATATCAATCAGTTGTTTCAAACTTGACTGTTCCTTTTGCCGATATCAGTCCATCGTCTCAAATTTCAGTGTTCCTCCATTTTCATACTAATTACCTTCTGTTCCCGTTCTTTCCTTCTCGATCTTCTATTGAAGTACATCCTATTCCTGACCATCGTTATGCACTACTTATGAGAATATAAGTGGCTTACACCACAGTATCACCAGCTCTCAAGAATATAGTGTGTCTGAGTTGCGTTATCTTCAAATTGAAAGCATATATATATATACGATAACTGCCAAATCTTGAGTATGTGGTGGTATATTTTGTGTCAGTAACTGACTTTTACTGCTTAAATAAATGATCATATTTGTTGGTTGTGATATTTGCATGGATTTTTTTTACTCCGTGCCTTGTTTTTGTCGCGGAATTTGACATTATTCGCTGATAGATAGCATTGAACAGGTGTTTTTTCCACTATGGAATCTTCAGGCCTCACAGCAAGTGCCTAGTTTTCATATCACATAGCAGGTCTCCAGTCGATTCGTGATGTAGAATGGCATCACGGTCCGCCATAGGATCGTGAGCTTTTACTAGAATGGAGTTACTCTTCACTACTTCTTGATTTTCAGAACCACCCCCACTGATGTCAGTTCATGGCAAAATCATATATGTATTTCATTTTTTGGTTTATTTAGACGATTGAGCAAGGAAAACGTTAAACCAATGGGTAGGCATCTTGGAAAATTGTCACACAGTAATCCAGGTTTATTATTTGATCACGTAAGTCCTTCGATTGTTTTCATAGGTTTCTGTTTTATTCATATTGTATATGCTTTGGCTTTGTCATACATATGGTATGCAAAGAGTAAACTTTGTCTCAAAGATTAAATTAGTCACAAGTTTCACAGACTACTATCTAGTGCTCTTGAGCTTTTCAAAACGAACAATGAACTAATAAAATACTCTTTAATGCAACTCATTAATTGTCAAAATTAATTAGTCACAGTATTTGTGACCGTAAGGGAATCGGAATTAATTAGTTTTGTTAATATCGCTAACCGGTGGATGATTTTGCTAGTCTCATCCAGGAGGTATTGACATGACGTTTTTTAAGATTTTCTATTCCCTTTGTTTATATTCAAGACTGTTTGACCAGTCTTTCTGTTAGCACATGCGATCAATGGTTTCAATATTACTTAAATGGTTGATTCATTATGGATATGTATTAAAACATTTTAAATCACTTTATCATAAATAGGTGTTATTTTTATTCAAGTAAGATTATTCTTTTTAATTTTACCAAAACTTAGCTTTTTTTAAACTGGCTAGCAGACTAAGCACTGGTGTCATTAACTTGCAATAATCTTATAACTATTGGTCATAGTATCAAGAGTAAAAGACCCATTTTAGTTCGATTTAATTAGATAATCATGATCTATGCTTGATGATAGTCGATATGATTGAAATAGGTCCCAATTTTCTAGATATATCAATCCTTCATTTATTCTAAATTTATAATTTCTATATTATCTCATACACATCTCTTTGTTTGATTTCTGAACTGTAGATAAATTAATTTGCGTCTATCAGGGGAATGATATTTATGATTTAGTTGTATAGTTATCTTACAGATAGTAAATGTCTCACAGCCCCCAAATACCCTGGTACGGCCGAGAGTGGGGATAGTCCGCTCTCACATGGCCACGCGTATATAGCCTCTGCCAAAAAGTCCTACTCACTGCCTTCTCGTGGTGGGGTGTTGTTTACGAAATCGAGAAAACGAAAAGGGAATATTCGTAGCTGTAACCGAGTTGATGGACATGGAGAGTCCCTCCTAAGGGAGTTGGAAAACCCTGATTCCAAACCAATGGTGCACATGGGCTCCAGTAACCTGAAGGAACAAATGACGTATGAACCAATCGTTGGTCACTGGCTACCATGGGACTGCATCTTCCGACGTTGCTCCACTGCCTTGTGGATCAGACCTTTAGGCCGAAGGCTCCGGTTGTGGCTCTCTAAGAAAACCACCTGCTTCGGTTTAGACACCCGAACAGTGTCGCAGCCCTCACACAAATCAAATGAGATTTGTGTGGCGCATATGTATTTGGTGCCTCCTTGTACCAATATCTAGGTTTTAAAATAAATAAATAAATAATTGTCGCACAATTTTTAGGTTAACTAGTTATTTATTGTCTGTTCAGACCTTATACGTAATAGATTGTCGAGCAGGTGTTATAAACGGTGATATAACCTATTTACGAAGTGAAGGACTGCCTCATACTTGTTTCACCAGTTAGTGAAACTAACTGGCTGCCCGAACCGAAGTAGATGAAGCAACATATGGAACTGGGGACTTGTTGGTTGATAGCTGTATAGGTGTTTCACTATACCAGCTCACTATTATTATATATGTTTCTCTGTCGTTACGTACTTTCATTGTAAATAAAAACCCAGATTATATTGTGGAAACAATTACAGAATCCATGCTAATTTACAGTCATGATCATTTTGGTAGAGAAATCAATGTTACATTTAAAGTATAGAGATCTGAGATTAAATCATTTGAAATAATGTTGCTCTGAGAGCTCGTTTGTTACCATGATTAAAATAATGTAAGACAGGTATTGGGATTTAGTTATTCTTAGTAGTTGGACTAAGAGGTCCTATCCAAGTATGAATAGTATATTGATGGGGCAATTCTAGTGCTATTACAAAGTAAACATAATCATCTACAGCTATATAATTCTAAACTAAAACACAGCGCAGTCCTACATCTATAGTTACTATGGTAGATCCATCGTAATATAAGTGATAGGTTATTTTATAAACAGATTTGTACCAGATGATGATAATCATTTATGTTGCATATAAACGATGGTAATGATTTCGTTTCGCAAATAAATATTGTATGAAGTTATCCCAGAGTCTTGGAAAGTTATAATATTAAAAATGAGACACTTTCACTTTGAATAAAGAGTTATGAATGCCACTACTAGGTATTTCTGCATACTGGATTGCAGCACTGGACATAAAGTATAGTTTATGTAGTATTTTTAAAAAACAAACTAGGTTTATTTTTAGTTCCTGCTTCTATATGGGGGTCAAGTTCAAACCAAATGCATCTAAATTTATAGTCTAAACCTTGATTACATTACCGGTTATAGCTATGCCTAATTTGAGAAAATGATCACCAAAGTAAATCTATTCATATCTGGATGTGCTGATCTCTGAGTTCCATTTTGAGGTACACACTGATACCATTTTATACCGTTTATATAAGGACCAAATGACATAACAAACTACCTTGTATTACAACATCAACTGAAGTTAGAAATGTAAATCATCGAAATCTTTCAGACTTATTTGAAGGCAACAAGTTTGCATGGATACGTGAAGGTTCTGGAGTTGAGTTCGACAAGGTCGTGCATCGGAGCTATAATAATTGAATAATTCTTTTGAAAGTATATAGAACTATACCCGAAAAACAATCATCTTCCACTGTGATTGACTATGGACTATGAATTTGACCAGCATTTTAACAGTGGCATATACTGCTAACCACCATCTATCTTTGCTTATAAAGCTTGTGACTTATTGAGGCAATCCGAACAGGATGTATATATATCGGCACGAAACTGACAAATTGCAGTCCTAAAGAACAAGGGGACGATACAAGCAAACAATACCAAGTGAATGTATAAATGTGTGTTTTATTATTTACTATAGTTATCCTACCATTTCAATTTTATTATCCTTCTTCCTCACTCTTCCCAATTTCGTTATACTCACAGGTCTTACATACAGTTCAACTGTTTACAAATCTTATAAATCCTGTTGTTGAAGCATTGAAATATGTTAGCAGTTTAGGTTATGATATGCTAACTTGTAAGTTGATAAATCCTACTATTCTCCCATTATTATTATTATTATTATTATTATTATTATTATTATTATTATTATTATTATTATTAGTAGTAGTAGTAGTAGTAGTAGTAGTAGTAGTAGTAGTAGTAGTAGTAGTAGTAGTAGTAGTAGTAGTAGTAGTAGTAGTAGTAGTAGTAGTAGTAGTAGTAGTAGTAGTAGTAGTAGTAGTAGTAGTAGTAGTAGTAGTAGTAGTAGTAGTAGTAGTAGTAGTAGTAGTAGTAGTAGTAGTAGTAGTAGTAGTAGTAGTAGTAGTAGTAGTAGTAGTAGTAGTAGTAGTAGTAGTAGTAGTAGTAGTAGTAGTAGTAGTAGTAGTAGTAGTAGTAGTAGTAGTAGTAGTAGTAGTAGTAGTAGTAGTAGTAGTAGTAGTAGTAGTAGTAGTAGTAGTAGTAGTAGTAGTAGTAGTAGTAGTAGTAGTAGTAGTAGTAGTAGTAGTAGTAGTAGTAGTAGTAGTAGTAGTAGTAGTAGTAGTAGTAGTAGTAGTAGTAGTAGTAGTAGTAGTAGTAGTAGTAGTAGTAGTAGTAGTAGTAGTAGTAGTAGTAGTAGTAGTAGTAGTAGTAGTAGTAGTAGTAGTAGTAGTAGTAGTAGTAGTAGTAGTAGTAGTAGTAGTAGTAGTAGTAGTAGTAGTAGTAGTAGTAGTAGTAGTAGTAGTAGTAGTAGTAGTAGTAGTAGTAGTAGTAGTAGTAGTAGTAGTAGTAGTAGTAGTAGTAGTAGTAGTAGTAGTAGTAGTAGTAGTAGTAGTAGTAGTAGTAGTAGTAGTAGTAGTAGTAGTAGTAGTAGTAGTAGTAGTAGTAGTAGTAGTAGTAGTAGTAGTAGTAGTAGTAGTAGTAGTAGTAGTAGTAGTAGTAGTAGTAGTAGTAGTAGTAGTAGTAGTAGTAGTAGTAGTAGTAGTAGTAGTAGTAGTAGTAGTAGTAGTAGTAGTAGTAGTAGTAGTAGTAGTAGTAGTAGTAGTAGTAGTAGTAGTAGTAGTAGTAGTAGTAGTAGTAGTAGTAGTAGTAGTAGTAGTAGTAGTAGTAGTAGTAGTAGTAGTAGTAGTAGTAGTAGTAGTAGTAGTAGTAGTAGTAGTAGTAGTAGTAGTAGTAGTAGTAGTAGTAGTAGTAGTAGTAGTAGTAGTAGTAGTAGTAGTAGTAGTAGTAGTAGTAGTAGTAGTAGTAGTAGTAGTAGTAGTAGTAGTAGTAGTAGTAGTAGTAGTAGTAGTAGTAGTAGTAGTAGTAGTAGTAGTAGTAGTAGTAGTAGTAGTAGTAGTAGTAGTAGTAGTAGTAGTAGTAGTAGTAGTAGTAGTAGTAGTAGTAGTAGTAGTAGTAGTAGTAGTAGTAGTAGTAGTAGTAGTAGTAGTAGTAGTAGTAGTAGTAGTAGTAGTAGTAGTAGTAGTAGTAGTAGTAGTAGTAGTAGTAGTAGTAGTAGTAGTAGTAGTAGTAGTAGTAGTAGTAGTAGTAGTAGTAGTAGTAGTAGTAGTAGTAGTAGTAGTAGTAGTAGTAGTAGTAGTAGTAGTAGTAGTAGTAGTAGTAGTAGTAGTAGTAGTAGTAGTAGTAGTAGTAGTAGTAGTAGTAGTAGTAGTAGTAGTAGTAGTAGTAGTAGTAGTAGTAGTAGTAGTAGTAGTAGTAGTAGTAGTAGTAGTAGTAGTAGTAGTAGTAGTAGTAGTAGTAGTAGTAGTAGTAGTAGTAGTAGTAGTAGTAGTAGTAGTAGTAGTAGTAGTAGTAGTAGTAGTAGTAGTAGTAGTAGTAGTAGTAGTAGTAGTAGTAGTAGTAGTAGTAGTAGTAGTAGTAGTAGTAGTAGTAGTAGTAGTAGTAGTAGTAGTAGTAGTAGTAGTAGTAGTAGTAGTAGTAGTAGTAGTAGTAGTAGTAGTAGTAGTAGTAGTAGTAGTAGTAGTAGTAGTAGTAGTAGTAGTAGTAGTAGTAGTAGTAGTAGTAGTAGTAGTAGTAGTAGTAGTAGTAGTAGTAGTAGTAGTAGTAGTAGTAGTAGTAGTAGTAGTAGTAGTAGTAGTAGTAGTAGTAGTAGTAGTAGTAGTAGTAGTAGTAGTAGTAGTAGTAGTAGTAGTAGTAGTAGTAGTAGTAGTAGTAGTAGTAGTAGTAGTAGTAGTAGTAGTAGTAGTAGTAGTAGTAGTAGTAGTAGTAGTAGTAGTAGTAGTAGTAGTAGTAGTAGTAGTAGTAGTAGTAGTAGTAGTAGTAGTAGTAGTAGTAGTAGTAGTAGTAGTAGTAGTAGTAGTAGTAGTAGTAGTAGTAGTAGTAGTAGTAGTAGTAGTAGTAGTAGTAGTAGTAGTAGTAGTAGTAGTAGTAGTAGTAGTAGTAGTAGTAGTAGTAGTAGTAGTAGTAGTAGTAGTAGTAGTAGTAGTAGTAGTAGTAGTAGTAGTAGTAGTAGTAGTAGTAGTAGTAGTAGTAGTAGTAGTAGTAGTAGTAGTAGTAGTAGTAGTAGTAGTAGTAGTAGTGGTAGTGGTAGTAGTAGTAGTAGTAGTAGTAGTAGTAGTAGTAGTAGTATATTCAACAATTATAAATCGAAATTAATAATCCATGAAATTGACCAGGTTTAAGGCAAAGTACATAATTTAGAACTGTAACATGTAAATCAAGGATTGTTGTTTTGTCATATAAAATAAAATCAAATCGTCAATGTTGAGGCTGACTTGTATCACGTCGTTAACTTGAAAATATAATTTAAACTCATCAATTGTGTGCCTATCATGCGTGTGTCTGTGTGGATTTGTAGTTAAATTCGTTTATTCTAACAAATTAAAGTCCTCTAATGGCTTTGAGCATGTTTGGAATGCATTTCTGCTACTCTAAATGCCAAAAATTGCTTCAGGACTAGTATGTTGTTGTAACGGGTGACTGCAGATTTAGATAGCAGAGTATTTATCGCTCGGACTAATGACACGCACGAACGACCTAGAGTCCCGTTTAGCCCCGCTTCGCTGTCTAGCCCAGCCAATTGAGTCCAGAACAAAAGTCTCACCCTCTGATTTACGAATCACTGTATTTCAGACTTACTGTGTTTATATACCAACCAAACAAACCACATCGTACCATTAAATAGAAAACAACATTTGTACAATATTTAACAAGTGAAATAAATATCGACCAATAGGGAATATACATTTAAAGTCCAAGGACACCGTTTGACTTAACATGATAATTATTGGTATATTTTTCTGCACATCCTAACATATGTGTCAACGCTTATAATGATTATAGGGAGTTAAGTAGTTAAGAGTACTAACCACTTCACTTACTTTGGGAATCTCATTCGTGATAAGTTTTTAACAGACGGGTTATCGTCATGGTCTGACTAGGGTCACTGGACGTTTGATTACTTAGATCAACTGTGGTGTATACAAGATGTTGGTCTGCCAAATTGGTCACTTTAAATTTACTTGTAGAACATAGGTGTCTTCGAAATATTGCTCGTATATCCTGGGACCATCGAGTAAGTAATGCAGTTGTTAGGAAACGGGTACTAGGTAAGGATGGAAAATCAATTGATGAAGTAGTGAAACTTCATCAGTTGAGATGGCTGGGACACGTGTTACGTATGCTTAACGACCGACTGCCTCGACGTGCGATGTTCAGTGGTATAGGAGTAGATTGGAAGAAAGCTAGGGGCGGCCAGACCAAAACATGGCACAAGTCCATGAAGTCACTGACAAGTGGTCTGAGTCATGTTGATAGGTGTAGACTACCTGGTTGGGGACCGCGAGATGATAGCAACCGATGGTTAGAGACCCTGAATGACATGGCTCAAAATCGTTTGCAATGGCGCAGGTGCATACACTCTTTGTGTTCTCCCAAATTTTAATCTCCTTATTCCTCCTTGTCTCTTTTTTTTCTTCCCGAATTTATTTCACTGTCTTATAATCTTTAAATAACATCTCCGAACCCTAATCTTCCCGATTACTGCTTATACTCTTACTACCTCTACCACTACGGGATTTGAATCGACAACTGCATCTCTGTGCTAATGTGGTGTGGCAACTCGAACTGATGTATGTACGTACGAAGTTCTACGTTGTTACTGACTGACTGACTTTGTGAATAATTTAATGTGATAAATGGATAATTCGTATTTCTATTATATATTGTATAGGCCTACATTAGTACATACTCATTATTTTATTTCATAAATATTAACCTTTAACTTTCTTACAAATAACTAAAATTAACATATTTTCGTAGGTTAATCATTCTATTAAGACTTCAGTTATATACTACTGTATGTGACCAACTGGTTGAAATACAGTTCAATTCTTTTTATATTACGAAATTTAGACAGTCCATCTCAATGAAACGTTCGAATTTTTTAATATCAGACGCGTTTTTGCGAAACATTCATTTCAAATGTTTTGTTCATTTCAATGTGTGAATATTTGTGGATTTTTTTATATTTTCGGGCTGTTTTTTGTTATGTTCACAGTTTGTATTATTGAAGCACTTGCCACAGATCAATCGAAACTGGAAGATTTACAATTGAGTCAAGGTTTACAAGGTACACTTATTGTTTACTGTATCCCTATCAATATATGTACATGTTAATACTTTTTTTCTTATTCCTAGTTTATAGCTTGTCTTCAAATGACAGTAACAACGAATATGTATCATTAATTCTACAGGAACCCTTTTACAGTCAATCAACTTTATTTCTTATGCAACGGTTTTTGCATGAGAGGAATAATTCTTTAAAGTCATTTCTCACAGTTGTAGAGAAGTTCGAGATGTTTTAATATCTTGATCCAACATTAGTTATAAATGGTCACATCAAGAAATATGTGATCGCTTCTCCAGTATCATATGTATGGTAATATCGTCAATAAATCTCACACATAATTATTTAGAAAACATTTTTGTACTGATTGTTTTACCCGTTCTCTCCTCCTTATTCTTATTTACATAATTAATCAGCATTGTCGTTGTTTACTGGATTGTTGTGCAGAAAGTATCAATTCGATTTGGCTGGTTTGTTACAATATGTACTGAATCAATTAAAAGTTGGTAAAAGGTAAGTCATTAGTATATGCGTTGGTGTGTTTAATTTTCTGGCTGAACTTCGGATGATCATGTATGACAACGACTAATTATTTTCAGACTGACCAGTTGTAGTCGTTCATTTTAGTTTTCCTCCTTGGTAAATTAAAACAACTGTCCATCAAGCAATGATAAGCAACGCACTTGGAATTTGAAAGTTATTATTTCGTTGATGTGTTAATGTGATTGAACCAAATATTCACTAACAAAAAGCCATGTTGTGTGTCATAGCGACGGAGATTTTTATCCAGTATAGTGTCTAAGTTACCAACACGCTAAATTATTAACATCTGTTTCCTTAATTTGAGACCTTCTCCAGGTTTTAAATTTGGGATATTTGCACAATTTGACTAGGTGTACAAGGATGGTCGTGAGTATATCCTATCCGAAGTTCTGAACTTAACCTAAATAGCTATCTTAGTACTCTTCAATTTTTATTGGTTCTTCAGCTGCTCTCAGTTGATTATACTTTAGATGATGGCTAGCAATACGGTCTAGAACATACATTCCATACTGCTTGTCAGCTTAATCTACTTTCATCTCAATGTTGATGTTCACATTTACTCTCAATCCTAATCCCTTTTACTACCACTATTATCAAGTTATTTTCTTAACAATTCCAATTGATAACGGAGACTTATGAGATGTTTTCGACCTTATCACCTAATATTTTAAATCCTGAATATTAAGGGTTTTTGTATTCAATTCAAAATCTCTGATTACAGTAGATAACTTTCAGAATAAAATTTGTACTGCTGCATTAAATTCCACTTTGCTGTGCAAAAATTTAGGATATCCATCCGTCTATCTGTTTATCACAACAGAGGTTAATTCTCTTTTATTATGATTGTCAAAACTTTGCTATCAACTTATGTGGATGCCATTGTTATCTCCTCTACTATTTCTTCAATGTGCAGTGAGACACATTTATGAACCGCCGTGGTGGTTTAATTTATATTTTACAGTGATTATCTCCGGGATAATTTGCCTCCCTTTTTTCATGAAACCGCTTTAGAACACCATATAGTTAATACAAATATTTATTCAGCTAAATCAATTCTTAAGCAGGAAGATGTCTTACAATATTTCCACATTTCGATAACAAATGGATTTTAGGTTTAAACATGTTATATCCCAACGAGAAGTATGAATGGTAACTGTTGGGATCTATTTCTGGACTAATTCTATACATATATTTTTATTGTGTAATTAAGTAACTAAGCTATGTATATTCATATTCATCTTATTATAAGCTTTATTTTAACCTATAGATTATTATTATACGATTTACCATTCTTAAGTTATCCCCAGTTTATTAATTAAAGTCTACCACAATCATAGCAACTTTGGGCTAGATCTTGTACAAATGTTATTTCCCATTTTATGGTGTGATGTGGTCTGTTTGGCTTGTATATAAATGTAGTATATTTGAAATAAGTGATTCATATCGCAGAGGCTGAGATTGGTGTTCTGGACTCAACAGACAGGGCTAGGCAGGAAAAAGAACCTATAAGGACTCTAGACTGCTCGTACGGTTCTATGCATCGTTGGTTCGGTCGATAAGTCACTGTTCTCTAATTGGCGGTATCACCTCGTTAAATATTAATAGGGCGCGAGGTCACATGTTATAACAGGACAAAAGACTACAAACCCTGATCTACTGTTGTATGTATTTTGAGAGATATTGTCGTATTCTGCAAAATTTTATGCAGTTATCTTTCGTGCACATTTTAATAAATAGTGGCTACAGTTAACGTTTGTAAGTAATATGTTACAAATAAATGATAGTTGTTTATCTATGTACACTTTGAGTATAAAATTACTTTGTTTTTTGTTTATTCCTCTCACCATTTTAAATAAAACATAATTATAGTTATGATTTGGCAATATTACGTGAAATTCTCCATCGTATGTCTGGTATCGATATATCGGAAGAAATGACGGAAGAACAATTAGAATCCATGTCAGGTGGTGAATTACTATTGCAAGAAGGTGGCTATTATGCACAGATACGTAACACACGTCGTAATGCTGGACGTCTTAAAGATGCCTTGGTTGAGCATAATTTGATCATGCCATTTATTTTTTTAATGGCTCAACAGCGTGATGCTATCATATTTCTAGATGATCCAGAACGTCACTGTAAATTAGCTGGGCGTTTATATGATCAGGTTAGTTGAATTTCATAAAGTTCCGCACCTTTTCGTACACTACAGACAGGTCAATGCTCCTCTATTAAAAGCAATACCGAACCAATCGATTCCGATATAGCTCTTCTCAGAATTACTATCGTCTTCAAGTTCAGCTATGTTATTTTACTGAGCACACTCTAAAGTCACTAACCTTCAAGGTTGAAAAACTTAAGATGATTGCCTTTTTCTACATACTATGGAGTGCGGTAATGTTTTGTGGCAATTCTGTATAAAGCTAGTCAGCTGATGTTCCCAGACATCTGATCTCTGCTCTAATCACTGAGTGCCAGAATTATGGTCTACTAATGTTGTTACGAAAACTTTCTATACTACTCTTGAATACTCAATTTCTATGGTTGCTGTAATATAATTAACCATTTTTTAAAATTATTATCTCTCTTATTTTCATTATTTCTGCTTTAGTGTCAAGGTACTCTTGTACAGTTCATAACATTTCTTAGTCTTCAATTAACTCGTGATGAAATGCAAACTCAGTGCTTAAATATTGACAGAATGATGGGTGAATTTCATGTTCCAGCTGATACTGCTTTTTGTTTACATCGTAATATGTTTGAACAAAAAGTTGCTGTAGGTTATTTTTACTTCACTTGTATTCGTTGTTGTTGTCGTCCCAATTTTCTCGTTGTACAAAAGTTTAATTGATTAGTTTTTGAGTTCTAGAAATCAATTTTCTGATGAATATTATCTTAGCATTCGATATTATTTTTGTTTTATATATATATATATATATATATATATATATATATATATATATCGCTTCCAGGGTACACGTTTTTGTATTAGACTTTGCAGCACACAGTTTGTGGATGAACTAATGATACTGTTCGACTGCCGAAATCGTAGTAAATAAATTATATTTTTAATCCGCAGCTTCCTGGTTGATAAATAAGTTATGTTTCCACCAAGATACTGTCAATATTCATTACTTGCTGGCGATTATGTTAAAACGTTATTACATGAATATACAGTCTGATGGTCTTTTTCAGTAAATTCGCATTTTGCAAACCACTCTCATATGTCACATGCTCTACATGCAGTGTAATTTTGTAGGATTCTAACGAATTTGAACTAATTCTTGACAATTCTTTTTTCAACTGATGGACTTATGTATGAAGCGCAGTACATGTCTCGAGTTTCAAAATTTGCTACTATCATTTATGCACAAATTTGTTGATTTTTTTTGGTTTAAATTTTCTTCGAATTGAAAATATTCCTTGCAAATTAATTTGAAGCAAACCATAACGCCAATCGGTGTATTGATGTCAGAATGTTATATAATAAGTGATTTGTTTTTTAAAACTACCGAAATATTTTGGAGTCCGAAATTTCACTTTCTTGTTGTCTTTAAAATAGAACGAACCAGATTTTAGAATATTTTTCGTATGCGATTAATGAAATATTGATCTGGAATTCATCCTCAGGTGAAAAATTGGCAGATGTTCTATATATCGATAATCATTGTTGTAAAGTACTTATTTATCAGTCTGTTCTACTTTAAAAAAACGAACATTACTATTATTTACTGATTCTAGGATCTTTAAAATAACGAGGATGATAATTGGCTATAGATGAGGAATTCTTTGATATAATGTGTTACAATAGCATCTGGCATTATATATATATATATATATATATATATATATATATATATATATATATATATATATATATAGCTGATTACAACGCTAATGCAACGTACAAACGAAGTTTGCATTTCTAACTTCAGTGAATCTTTGTCAGATAACTTACTAGTTTGAATATTATCCTTAATTGATCAAATGATATATCTAGTCATTTAACTGAATGGGTAAAATGTATTTGCCATAAATTATTTTCAGCGTTTATTTGAAAGCAAAGAACAAGCAGAAATAATGAAATCTGGTGAAAAATCAAAATCATTCAGCAAGGTTTGTGTTTTTTTCAGTGCGTTAAGTTGGAGTAGCTTCTTTTTTTCTCCTTTCCTCTCCTTCTTTCTCCTGGATGGATTATTGTTAATTTTGTTACTTACACATAATTTAACCGAAGATCGTATAATCCAAATTTGCCTGTTGTTAGTCATTGGATGAACAAATTTCTATCAAAATTTATGAAGCATTTGATGATTAGATTTAGCAAGTATAATCTTTCTGTGCTTTATGATAATTAACACCTATTATTTGCTTTGAACTAACCCATCTTATCTTTGGTAGTTAGTCTTTTTGAGATCATTTACTACTGGTCATTGAAGCGTTGTACAATTTCCAACCATTTATTTCAAAATCATTGAATCATAAAAGTATTAATTTTATTGTTTGAAGCTTTTAAAGTCTTTGTAGCTTATTCTTAATCATGTGTAGCAGCATATTCGTACGATATTATAATTATAGGTCCTGTTTCAAGACCTTGAATAAATCATATAAAGGCACCCTAAGACGAACAAGTTGAGTCACTTGCTAATGTCAGTCTGCTGAATGATGGATACATCAAAAGCTCCCGAAATGAATATCGAGTAGTACTCAATCTTACTCATACTCGACCTTATCAAACATCAGAAAATGTTAATTAATTTTTATCAAGATAACAAATAATTAAAGACTCATGCACAAGCGTTTGAGGCACACTCTGTTTTGTGTAAGGACTAATGATTTTACTCAGCAATCCAACTCGAATGAGGTGGAGTAATATATCGAACCTGTAACTTTATGGTTGGAAGGTTATCTCTTTAATATACTGCCACACTACTGATAAAATAAAAGTTTTATGAGGTTAGCTTATATGCAGAAAACGAGGGTAACGGATAGGGTTACACTTTTGATGTTGTGAATTCGGAAGTTTCCATAAAAAAGTAAATTTGATAATAAAACTGATCACTCTAGTCAGTTTTGAAAATGAAGTTGCTCTGTAAATTTCTCTTAGAATTTCCATGATATTTCCAGTTATGTTTTGGTGACTCGGGTTTTTAAAGATTTTTTCGAGAAATTATAGCTGACCGTTAACATGCTTCACAGTTTCTATGTTAGGATTCTTTTTTTTATTATTTAAATTATGATGTCTAATCTACTGAAGCCTGACGTCATTCAGTAGTTTAATTACCCATGATGTATGCTATCTAAAAAAGTCATATTGTGTATAATAATGTCTTTCAGAATCTACTAGTCCAAAGGTTTTTTTTAACTCGATCAATTTAAATGATAACATTTATCAAGTGTGTTTATTCATCTATTTTTTATATCATTTAATATTGCTAATCATTCTTTTTCATTATTATTATTATTAATTTCATAAAATTGTAGACGATTTTCTCAGCTGCTTCTTTACATGTTTGCAATGAAATAGCTGCAGCTATACGTCCATTATACCCAGCTCGTGTATGGGATGAATTAGGCATTGTGTTCTTTATCACATTTTGGAGTTTACAGTCAAGTGATTTAGTTGTCCCCGAATCCGCCTATCAACGACAAATACAACAATTAAAAGTGCAGATTCAACAAATTGATACGCCGGCTAGTGGATGGGTAAATACATTGATGATGTAAACCCTAGTTGTGTATATTTTCTTGTTTTTCTCTCTCTGTGAATAAATGTTCATTTAGATTTTTGTGTTTAGAAGCTGATATTTCGTCACAAATTAGACTCAAATGGAGTACTGTTGAAAAAGTTGGGGTGGTGGGACATCACAGCATGGCTTTTATCTTAAGTACCCGTTTAACCCTCTTTTAGAGATCATACCCAGTACCTTCAGATCTCACAGCAAGTGTCTAATCACTAGACACCTGGATTAACAATCAATGTCGTACACTTCCAACTTATGATAAACTTGACGACCGTCTAATGTCATGGGTAAAGACTCTTCTACGACCGACATGTTATGATACACTTTCCACAGTTTATCACCGAAATTCGTCATTTTACCCGTGAGCATGATAAGCACCAAAGTTTCCACTACTCTGCTCTTCAATGATACTTTCAAATAGGTCACTCTGTGAAACTTCACTAACGAACATTCACTTTGTCAGATTTCATTTAAATTATGTTTTGTTTTCGTTATTATTTACCAAGTTTTCTGTCCTTTCAAAAAGATGAATGAAAAACTATGTACTCTGTATCAACAAGGTCAGCAAAGATCTTGTGCCTACATCTTTATCTTGTCTTCTGTTCTTACTGGAGGTTTTATGTGGTGAGATAGGGAATTTCTGCGACATGGGACGCTTATAATTACAATCTCTTTGGTTCAAAATATGTTGCTAACTTTACTTATTTATTAGGTACAAAGTTGTGTACTCAATTTCGGCTACTTGTTTTCTTGTGTATGTGAGAGCTGATCATACTATGCAGCTTTCGAAACTGGTAGCGGACTGGGGTTTGGACCTTCAAAGCTGAACGCCATAACTGGTAGTTTGCCGCTTGTGACATAATGGTCCCAAATTATCACTGAAGGTCTCTTAATTTTGATGTATTTTATTATTCAATATAATTAAACAAGAAACTTATTGTTTTCCTGATATTTCTCGGGAAACATGAAGAATCGATCTGTTTCAATTTCCTAATAGCGTGTTAAATTTAGAATGTCTTTACTTTTACTTGTTCAAATCTAATAACCAAATTAGCATTAACACCAAATGTAATTCACTGTCGAGTTGGAAAACTTGTACTTGATATATATATTGTAGTGGTTGATGGGAAATTTATTTATTCTTAATGCAAAGCATTCGGTGCAATATTTGTCGTAACAAGTTATTTGTTTGATATGATAAAAAGGAAATATTATGCTGTAACAATATCGATGTTAGCACAATACCCTTCGAACAACAAAGACAGTAACTGTTTCCAACTGTCAATATTCATTAAAAATTATTATTATTACTACTACCACCACTATTACTCTATTACTAATTACTACTAGAAAAATTAATAAAGCATTACCTCAATGTATTCATAAAGTGGTTGTAAATAAGTAAGTTTTCTGGATAATCAAAGTATTTTTCGAATAAACGAATATGTATATATTTCTCTGTATTTTTATCTGGATCAATGATTAGTGAGAGAAACCTTTCAATGCTCCTGATAATTATCCCATTGATGGGTACAGTCCAAACATATAGTGTTTTTGTATGTTAGTCAAAAAGCAATATAATGAATCTTTTCCCTTTTTAAATGTTGAATGTATAAGTATGTGTTTGTTTAGTCTATTCTAGCAACGTGGTAATACTAATTAGTATATACTTTTACTGTCACTTTAACTATGCATGACTTCATCATCATCGTAACATCTCAGAAATTTATTTTCTGTAAAAATCTTAACTTCGACTTTAGCATTTTGCTTAGTACTCATTTATTTAGTAACAGGATCCTTTTTTCAAATCTCCTCTCTCTATCTATATCAAATACTCACGTAAATTTAGAATTCAACAAAAAAGAAACGTGAAATAGAACGTTTAGAAAATTTAATTGAACGTCTAACCAATGAACAAGCTGAACGGGAAGAACATGTAACACGTGTACGTGCTTGGCTTATGACTGAACGTGATAATTGGTTTCAAACACGATTAGCTACAAAAACTGATACTATTACACAATTCTTACAATTATGCATATATCCTAGAGTGTGTTTCACCGCAACTGATGCTATCTATGCGGCACAATTTATGCACGTTTTGCATCAATTAAAGACTGCACGATTCTCTACGCTGATTTGTTTGGATCGAGTAAGTATTTTTGCAAAAATATATTATAGGTTAAATTTTCGTCTCTTTTTAAACTTGCTACGTGTATTTTTAAGTTGTTTCTGAATAAAATCATCCACGAAATCTTGTTGAAATCGGTCAATATTCTTTGATAAGTCGGGTGAAGTATCAATGTCCTGCTCAAACGGTTAGGCTGCCTGTTTTTCACCTGAGTCAATATCAAAGCTAACCTTTTAATAGATTTGTCTGGACATCTTAACTGCATGTACACACAGACATTATCATCAAAAGCGTACAAGTTATTGCCGGAAAACTGAAGTGAAAATGTTGTAGTTATAGACATATTTTCCTCGCCGTTTATTCTTTGGAAATAATGAGAAACAAATATACTATAATTCACGCATCTTATATACGATGGATGTAAAAAAATCAGTTGCAGTTAGTAGATTGTTAGAAAACCTTAAACGAGGATGATGGGAAATATAACGTTCATGAAGAAAACAAAAATTTCGTTCTGGAATTCATTGATTTAAATGTAAAGGGATTCATAATGAAGTCAATCTTTCCATATTCAAAAAACGGTCCCAATTTTATTGGGTACAGATACGCTTTTGTAATGAGTGTAAACTAAGCTTAAACCAAGAATTCTTGCCGATTTCTTTCATGCATTGCACATTTTCTCTCTGCTCTAAAGTAATCTGAAAATATGATAGAATAAGCGTTCGAATATTATATGTTCTTTGATAATAACTCAACAATCTCCATAACTCTGTACTGATAATTTCAAGTTTAAATGTTACCCTTAACAAGTTCGAATAAGTTTGTTGAACGAAAAATTGGGATTATTTAAATTTTATTCCCTGAGATTATTTCAAATATAATTTTCACAGACAATGTCTTCTTTATATTCGGAGCCCAATTTCTGTCAAACTATTCTTTCATATATTGACGAATATTTCAATATATAGGAATAGGTGTTCAACCTGTCATTATATGAAAATTTTCTATTTTTATTAAGAAAAATGACAATTTTGATGGAAAGTTTTATAATAATAATATTGATTACCTAAGAAATATCAAAGAAGCGTTACAGTCATGTAAAGGAACAGAAAGACGAAGAGAATATTAACATCTTAGTGTCTTATGCTATTTTGACGGCTAAAGCAAGAAGAATGGTTATACAAAGTTTTCATGAATGGATATTTTGTAAGTTGGTAAGATGGATTTTGTTACCTTTGACTGTATACAAAATGAAGTATACATATAGCATACGATAATTTTGGTGGACGAATTGAAATTCTTTCTTTAGGTTCATTTGATATTTTGTTAATTCGGTTAGTATAGAGCTCTCAATCAACCTTAATTGTCCCCTATTTTAGTAGTCATGATAGCTTATGAAAATTCAGTAAGAGATTTACTTAATTGTGTATTTAGTGTAACTAACCCCATTGAAGGAGTTAACTTAATAAATATTAATTCATAGAGTCTTTATTTTGAGTATTCCGGCGATGATGAAAGGATGATTGTGAAGTAGGATTGTCACTTCTTTTGGATATAGATACTGAGCAGTTGATCAATTTATTAGCTTGATCTTTAAGTTCATTTATTTGTTTATATTAATTTAATACTTTTAAATGTAATCAGCCTGTTTTTGTTTCCATTTTTGTCAAATATATGACACTATTTATCGTTTTCTCGGTGTCTTATATTTATTAATTCTCGCAGATAGAGATTTTATATGAATTTCGCGTATATATGCTCTTTCTTCAAATAACAATTATGAAAAATATTCGGTGGTCGAGGGGAGGTTTTGGCCTGTTTCGTTGTTAAATATGGTTTGATACCCTTATAAGAGCGAAGAAATCATTAAGAACCTATCACTGTGATTCTTATTCGATTTCATCTTATAAGACAATATTCTCCCATGATGGCATTATTTTTATAAGCTTTATTGTAGTAATGTCATCTCAAAAATATACATGATTCCTATTCTCTTATATATTTTCCCATCCCATCAGATTTTTAATGATATAACGTTGCCAACCAGTATGTGTACAGAAAATGAAGCGCATCGTTACGGTCGATTTTTATGTGCAGTCTTAGAACTTGTGATGCGTTGGCATGCCAGTGAAGAAGTGTTCAATCAAGAATGTGGTCAATATCCTGGTTTTGTTACTGTCTTCAGAAAGGTTAGTTTTGACCTAAAATATTATTTTACCCACAAGAATATTTTTCTTATGTTTGTCATTGTTCCTTCTGAAAAGAAAAGAAGTAGAATGTTCATGAAACGAATTTAATTCGTTGTCAGTGGTACATACTTTGTTTTACAACATTTTCAACTATTTTGTAAAACTAAGATGATTCTAGTAAATATGTACTGTGGCTAGCATTGGAATCCAGGACGCGCGTTTGTACCTATGTAACAAAACTGCGCATATATCAGTGCAGTTTTATCAGTCGCTGTCCTCGTAATGTTTACCTCGGGAAAAATATACAAACCTATATATAAGTTAGCTTTGTAGAGACCTTTTCAAATTTAAAGGTGATCTTTATCATGGCCTTAGATCATTGATGTAACCAAAAAGCATGAGTTTGCTGTAGGTCCGTTGCTCTTCTCACCTCAGGAAGGCATACAAAAGTTTAAAATGATAATCAAATGGACTTTAAAATTTTTTAATGAACGTACGGAATTAAAAAGCAAAATTACATTTTTTACTCATTGTGTTTTTTGTACAACAATACTGGCGTTCTTAAAAAAATTCAATATGATTGATGGTTGACTTGAGTACCGAGCTCCTTAAAATTTAATGGTGTTTTCAGAATAGCCTCTATCCTAGATTCCAACATTCTTCCAGTCGAATATATGTCCACATGCATTGATATAAGTGAGGATATGTCATGGCGTTTGACCGCTGATTGATGTTTATTCAGGCGACGATGAAGAAGGTGGCCGCTTTGTCCGATGTAGTGTTTTTCTCAATCGGAAAAATTTTTTGTAGATGATGTTCGGTTTTACTTCTTTTTTCATTTCGTCCTTTGGTTTGCATAGGATTGATCGGAATAATTTCATTGGTTTGTGTGCTACACCTATTCCAAAAAACTTCACTAGTCTCGTCATTTCTCATGTGTCCTTCTAATCGCTTTGATTATCATATGAAGTTGAACGTTCACTGCATATTGATATTCCCATTGACAACGTATCGATGTGAATACTGTATTCTTCTGGGAATTATTCAGTATTTCTTTGTCTACATTCACTGTTTTTACACTGAATCCGTATTCATATCTGTTTGAGTATGTTTGTATGGTTGATGTCTACTTCCCAATCCATGCTCTTTTATACACAGGTAAGGATGGTATATCTATTTTTTTCGACAGTCGACATCCAGTTATTACTAATTCATTGTTTTATCCTTGTTAACATAGAGTCAAATGAAGTATGAGCCACAATCTATTTCTTATTATTTCGTTTTATTTTATTTCAAGACATATCAAGGTTTAGATGCAAATACTAAACCAGACCAATTGCAGTATGAGAATTATCGTCATGTTGTACATAAATGGCATTATCGTATTACAAAAGCAATTGTTGCTTGTCTAGAATCTGGTATTTATGTTCAAATTCGCAACGCATTAATTGTATTAACACGAATTCTACCTCAATATCCGAAAATCACACAGTTCGGAAGTGCTGTTGAACGACGTGTAAATAAACTAAAAGATGAGGAGAAAGATCGACGTCCTGATTTAAAGGTTTGTTTATTAGTGTTTCTCTTTTGATTTTAACTTCCGCTTCATCTAATTTTAGTTTGAACAGTTAAATATTGCTTTTTGATCTAGTAAAAATTAAACCATAACCATCTCATACTTCAATGTGCAATTTTACTTGAATTGAATAGGTTGGTCAAACCGAGATATGAAGTCAATCCATGGATTTACTGGCTGTTGATGTAAACTGTGTTAGTCAATTTAGTTTACTTGTTTAGAGTCCATATCATAGTTGTGATCAATCTGTGGAGATGTTAGGTAACAGTATTCACAGTCAGTCACACTGATATAAATGTATTTATTTTTCATGTCACCTCGAAAAACCTTTGCAGTTGAAGATGGTACGAAAACCACTGCTGGAATTTACTTTAATATGTTTTGTTTGAATAGTCACAAACGAGCATTATGTTAAAGTGGAATTTCTTACTAAAATTCCTTTTTTGTTGCCAAACATTGTGGTGTTGATTAGATTTATTCCTATTATTAGTCGTATATTTTCTGTGTTTCTGACATAAATAAATACATCTTTATAGGATTCATCTGGTTAATTTCATCTCATTTTGCATATCTTATGCCATTTTAAGCTAATGCACATGTATAATGGGGTCTAGACTGATTATGATTCATTCTCATTACATAACATCTCATATAAAGTTATTATAGATGTGGTTTCCTATGTACTATTAAGATGTATATGTTCATTAATCATTAAATGATAATTTCTAAATTTCTCGATCGGTTTTTTTAAATTTATCAAAGCACATACAAGATAGAAGTTCACCTGTTGTATTCAACCTGTAAAATTAATGCTCTCATTTAAATTATTTATAGTTTTCTGTTTCCCCTGCTTGGTTAATTGGAACATAGAAAGTGGAAGAGATATATCGAGATGTATTTGTTACATTATACGTATTGTTGTTTTATTCCATGATTTATTTATCAGAATAAAAAGAAATAGGATTGTTGTGTCTAAAAATAAGTAACGGAAAAGTGCAGATTTTTACGTTGGAAGTACCGTTTTAGTCATTTCTCATATTTGACTAGTGTGCGTTTACTTTTAGTATTAAAAATGTATCAACATCTTCAGAATGGGTTTTGTGGAGAATTTACGAAATTTCACAGGTTTTTAAATCATGAGTCAGTTGAAGCTAGACCACCATTGAAAACCGGGAAGCACTGGACGGCCGTTTCGTCCTGGTATGGGACTCCTCAGCCAGTAGGTCCTGGGTTCGAGCCCCGCGTGGTGCGGGATCGTGGATGCGCACTGCTGAGGAGTCCCATACCAGGGCGAAACGGCCGTCCAGTGCTTCCAGGTTTTCAATGGTGGTCTAGCTTCAACTGACTCATGATTTAAAAACCTGTGAAATATCAACATCTATTGACCAGTCAACTCTATGTATATAGTATTGTTATGGCATTATGCCTTCTTCCCATACTGTTTAATCCAACCCTTAAGTTTTGTTAGCATGTTCGCGTTGGTTGCTTATTATGTAATATGATATGAATCACCATGAGGTAACTGTCATTCTATTATAATTTACTTATACACACCCGCAAAATTGATTTTACTTATTTCAAGTTTAAGAGCTTCCATCGTATTCCCTTGCTATGAGTAATGAAAAATCTGATGATTACTCTGGTTAATCTTGTTCTGCATCATGTCATCTCTACGCCGCTAAAATTTTAAACTACTTCATTACCGATAATATCGATGCAGACTATTCAGTTTATTCGTAACCCTCCTGATAACTTTGATGCACTAAACAAACGCTTAATATGATGATTTTCTAATTGATTTCTGGACTGTAGCAATTCCTGCCACTTGACCAAGAATAGTAGACAAAAATAGTAAGTCCTTCTGCTTTTCAAGACTGAATCAGATACATAAATCAAATTATTTATGGAATTAGAACTGATCTCGCGACGCTTTGCTTCTAGAATGGATGCTTAAATAAACTAATTATTCGACCTATCAAATTAGAGAAATATATAACGAGTTATTTTCCAAGCTCCTAGAAACATGTTTGGAAAATTTCGTTTTCTAATATTTCCAATCAGTTTGCATTTATTGTATTTAAATTTCAGCGTACTTTTTATTTTTTGTTTGTTGGTAGGCTTTAGCATTCAGTTATGCTGGCCTGATGCGTCCACGTAAAGTTAAATGGGTTAGTGAGGAAGAATTTCATTTGAAAGAAACTAAACCAATTCGCTCAGAGACGAATACAAATTATTCAAGTAATCATCAAAGCATCAACAGTGTTGGTAACACTAATCGTACTGTATCAAATCCTGACAATACTTCCGGAACTACTGTCAACTCAACTAGTTACGGTCATAATCCACGTGGACATTCCGGTTCAAATCAATTAACCAGTTTTTCGAATCCGCCTTCAAATGTAAACAACACTAGTGGTGGTATCACCAATACTAATACCAGTAGTAGTGGTAGTGGAGGCAACAACACAATTTTTGTTACTAGCATCAGTAATTCATCTAGTAGTTCTGCGACATTTGAACCTCCACATATTTCAGTATCGGTTCGACGTACTTCAACACAACAACCAACATCAAATCAAACTAGTAAAATCTCATCCAACTCAACTGTGGCTCCAAGCGGTAGTGGTAAGTCTTATACATGCATGGTCATGTTATTTCTCTCAACTCTGTTTATATTATTTTGCAGCACATGCATATTAACTTAACAACTCTATAAATAAACATATATAATTTATTCTAGAGTATCATACTATGATGAAAAATTGTCTCATATGTATTTGAATTTCATTATTATAATAATTGTTTGTTTATGATATTTGTATATTATCCACATTATTGTTATTACTTCTTTTCTTATTTACATACACTGACTAACGCTAATGTCAGCCTTTTCACAAATAATTAATTGTATTTTTCCAATGCCGAAAAACTTATTCTTGAAAAGACAAGTAAGAATTAAAAACATGAGAACCAACTATTTTGAAGAAAAAGAAAAGAAGTTTAATTAAAATAGGATGTTTGGCTTAAAGGAATGTAGAGATTTCAGCACAAATAAAATCAAACAGGGGGATATCAAGAAAAATTGAATAGCTGCTTAGTTTTGTACTCCACAGAAGTGCATATTCACAGCTTGCTCAAGAATCGAAGCAAGCACTGGTCTTGTGCTCATGAGCGACTGGTTTCGAAATGGATTTTCAACGTTTTGGTATGAATTCCTCATTAATGGATTAACAACCATGTGAGCAGTGAAACAGTCTCCTGACAACTTCATTCTTTTTTATGGACATGGAGGAAATTGAAATATATATCATTGAGTCCCAACCTATTGCTCTACAGGCAACTCACGCTAGAAGAACTGAATGCATTGGGTTCGGTCTCTTCTGAGTCAGTTGTTTACTGCGGATGATCCACTTAATAACCTGAAATAGTTAACTATTGTTCCTTGGGTCTCAATAGTTCTGCAGTTTTCACAAGTTCATAACAAAAGCTAACTGGAATATTACTAAAATAAATGGTTCTTTTCACAGAAAGCAATGCATACGTGTTTTGTTCGGTTAAACGCATTTAAAATCAATAATTGATGCGTAGATTATGATTTTATTGCCATCCACCATTGTTTTGATGTGCTTTTTTGCAAATAGTTCTGGAAACACGGTCACGACCTCAAACAGTGAATACGTCTATAACAGCCGTAGAGTCTTCGAAATGCAACCCTTCTGGTCAACTATCCGGGTCTGTGTCACTGTCCTCGGTAACAGCTGTAAGCAATTCTATTAGTTCGAATAATTTGAGCAATAATTCACCTTCCATTCCAACAACTACCCAAAGTAAATTACGATCTAGTCAGTAAGTAAATAATTGACCACTTTTGCTTTGTATTCAGACAGAAATAACTATTTGTTAAAATTAGTATTTAAGAAAAGCTAGTATATAGATTTTTCTTTTAAAGTATGTAATCATAAATTCTTAACGACATTTGCATTTCAAATGCTGTTTATTAATACAAGTGAATATATAGTGGAGAGTGATCAAAAGTTTCTGTTGGGTTGTATATTTTGAAGGAAAACCATAAGTTCATAATGAATATCATTGAGATTTTGTTGGCTCTTCAGCGAAATGTACAGTTAATACAGATATAGTTGCAATACATTAAGAATTACGTTAAAGTAACTCATTTATAATGTTACTTTAACACTTCGGGATCCAATCTAGATGCGACCTCAGATCTTCAGAACGTAACCGTTGCTGTTGTATGAAATCAAATATTCACTTATCTGTTGCAATAAAATGTTTGCATCGAAATACTATTAGAATTGTTTATTAACTATTCTTTTTCTGCTTTGTTCATTTCAAGCGATTGATTTCTTGCGACTAATACTCATAAATAATCAATGTGCTTTTATTATATTGATTTTATACACCATCTTTCATCAACTTTAAAATAACTGGGTTAGAATCTGACACATGTTTTTATTAGTTCAAGCTGTTGTATAATTCAAAAGTAACCAACTACTACAGGTTTGTGGAACTTTAAGATTTCAGCCGCACTCCTTATATGTATAGGTGTGTTAGTGAAGTTATTTTGGTTGCTTAAATCGAAAAGCTGTTACAAAATTTAATTTTGGGTTGAGTTATTTAACTGATCATATAAAATGTTTTTGTTTCTGATTGTTTCATTTAAAACCTACGAAAAGATCGATAAATATAATTTCTCTCTTTGTTGACAAATATCCTGTGGAATTTGATTGGTGCTTATCAGTTTATTGTAAATTGGTATATTTGTGTTGGTTTTATTTTACCGAATAAATTTTTTTAACAGACGTTTTGAGTCATCTCTACCACCTCCAGACGATGATGTTGCTTCTGTACCGGGACCACAATCACATTGTAAGTTATGAATATCGTTTCTTGCTATTTTAATACATAGTTCATTTTTATAAATTCTTGTTTCAGTTGTTTGAAAAAAGAGTTACTCAGTTGTCTCATCTTTCTACTTTCACCTTGTCAACATCGCTATATCATCATTTGTTTTCCTTCAAGCATATGTTACTCATATCCTATAGTATGTTCACAAGCTTTAACGACAAGCTGCGAAATGTTATTGCCTAATATATACTTATGCACCTAATGACTGAATAACTCAACTTCTAGTGAATATGTCGCAGACTTTACCCTCTATTCAATTCTGTCAAGCAGCTGAGTGATATCAAGTAAACTTAAACGTAATTGAAGTGAGGCTCAGATAAAAATCTGTTTGTAAATAAGTGGATAATAATATTACATATTTACTGATACATTTATCTTGATTACGTGTATAGTTTTGATTTAGTTGTTATTGTTTTTACCTCGTTTAATTATTACCAACAGCATCGAAACGACGCAGAATGGAAGCGGCCAGCGCGAATTTGACTAGTCCTAATGGGTGCATTTTAGGTGTGACAACATCCAAGGTGAGCAATTGAAAATTTTTTCTCAACCTGTGTGCAATTTTGTGAAATATAATGCAAAAAATATGGAATAATTTCCTCATTTTGTATTCAAAATCCAGTAGGGTTAATCAATTACACATTATTCAACTGTTTAAACAAATGAACAGTACCATTTGTGTGCTTTATTCGGCCTCTTGAAAGTTCTTTTTATGTATCGGTAAACATATTTGAAAATAGTGTTTTGAAAACAATATACACAACGTATACGCTTATATCACAAGTAAACCTACCAAACGAATCAATGTTCAATCTTCATAAGGGATGTTAAGTTATGAACTTCAAACTGTACATGGACTTGAAGTACTATGGGTTAAGGATAGAAGAAGCCATATTTAATTCCAATTATCTAACTAACCTACGACTGGTGAATTCATACTATTCTGCATCAATGTTTGTTCTTGCTCTATTTAAATAAATAATTGGTTTACCATATTTTACAAGGATTGACAGATAAAATTTTTATCAAGGAACAACTATAAAGAAAGCGAGAGCTTTTTGAATTTTCTGGAATAGGATGCATTTTGAACAAAAAGATATCAATCAGTTTTGATAACCATTAACTTTACGTATTGAACGTCATTAGTAAGGGAAAATGAAAATGAGTTAGAGGAATAGATTAAAATTCAGTCAATTCAGCGATAAAACTAAAAAATATCCAGTTACACTAGACAGTTGCTCATAGTTATACTGATGAAGAGTTTAAGTGGAAAAAAGTAGTTTACAAAATTCAAGAAACTTTTTTCTGGGACGATGATGTTATAGCTTGATGTACATTCATGATTTATAGTTGTTGGTTTGTGATTCTTGATACGGACATTTTGCTTAAGTTTGTAAAAGAAACCAGTGTATATGATTTGTCTGTTCAATCAATACACTAGGTAATGTTCAGTTACCGACCCTCTTGTGTTGATAAAAGCATAGGATCTGTATTTCGTTGTAACCGGTTCACTTCTGTTAATAATTACCCATAATTTGTACTTGGAAAACCTTGTGCACAGAAGACTCGAGAATCACGTGGTGACAAGGCGGTTGAGAAGCATGGCTTGCAAGGAAATTCAGGATTATCTCTCAACAGTGGAGATAGGACAACTGTGCCTGTACAAATGCGGGAATATTTTGGAACCAGCGAAAATATTGATTTCCCTTAAATGTTTGAAAAGGAAATCATGACTAAGTATTATGTACATACATAGGAACATCCATCTCTGTTTTTTAGGTGAGAGTTGAATCAACACGGTAGGTTAGAAAACGACTTTCGGTTGCTAGTTGCTTTTGATGTTTTAGTATTAACAATTACCTTATGGTATTATGTCTATTATCTTGTACTTATTGAATAGAACTAAAAATTCAAACATTTATTTTGTAATATTATCTTTGTTTGATCTTGCAAGATTAATTGACGAAAACGATGAAGATTTCGCGTTGAGGAATTTATTTATTTACTTCATGGCTGTAATATGCTTGTTACTCGAACTTAAGGCGGCTCTTAAACTCAAGCAGTTTAATAAACTGTCCTAATATTATTATTTATTTATTTATTTATTTTAACACATAAATATTGGTACAAGAGAGCGCCAATATATATGCGCCACACAAAACAATGTAACGTCGAAGAGATAGAAAAAAAAAACCAAGGAGCACAAAAGAGAACGATAACGAAGAGATTTAGTGTGGTCGTAACAATGAAACGGAAAAGTACAATCAGAAGAAATCTTTCAAGTAAGGGAGACACAACCACTTTTTATGAAGAAAGTAAAAGAAGGTTACAGCAGGATCGCCACTGGCTTCTATTCTGAGCCATATCTGATAACGTCTCTAGCCACTGTGTAGCACCATCTCTCAGACCCCAACCAGGGAGTCGTGAAGGACCAACACAAGCCAGTCCTTTGCAGCTTTCTTTCATACCACGACACCATGTCATGCACTGACCACCTCTTCGCTTTTTCCAACCAGTCCCAGAGTCGGCAAATAATGCACGACGTGGAATTCTCTGGGACGACATTCGTAGAACATGTCCAAGCCACCGAAGTCGGTGTTTCAAGATGGTGACACCAATTGAATTATCATCTCTGTGCCCAAACACATGATGCCGAACCTCTGCATTACTGACATGGTGTTGCCACTGAATATCAGCAATCCTTCGGAGACAGCGATGATCGAACACAGAGAGTCGTCTAACGTCCTCAACTCGGAGAGGCCAGGTTTCACAAGCATAGAGCAAAACTGCTCTCACCGACGCGTTGTAGATCCGACCTTTTACAGCCAGACTAACATCACGAAGGCGCCAAAGGTGGCCCAGATTGGCATAAGCCGCTCTGGCTTTTACTATACGTGCATTGATCTCATCACTCACACCACCACCAGCACTTATGCAGCTACCTAGATACACGAACTTCTCGACTACTTCTATCTGCTCACCATCCAGGGTGAGTACAGGATTGGAATCCTGCCAGTCTTGTAGAAGTACTTTGCACTTCGAAGGTGCAAAACACATACCATACCTACGGACACTGATTGCCAACTGATTAAGTGCGGATTGCATGCCTTGGGCATTATCGCACAGTAAGACAATATCGTCCGCATACTCAAGGTCGAGAAGTCTTTCTCCAGGTAACAGATCCACACCACCATTACTTACATTCATCAGAGCTGTTTCCAGAATGTCATCGATGGCAAAGTTGAAGAGGAATGGTGAGATTGGGCAACCCTGCCTAACCCCACTACTCGAATGGAACAATGGAGAGAGGTGGTTGTATGCCCTCACTCTGCCTGAGGTGTTTTTATATAGGACTTTTAGGATGTTAATAAACTTCTCAGGCACACCCTTCTTCAATAGACAATCCCAGAGAACAGTCCTGTCCAACGAATCGAAGGCAGCCCTGATGTCAAGAAACACTACGATTGTTGGCCTTTGATAAGTATGGCGGTGTTCTAACATTTGGCGGAGGGTGAAGATATGATCAATACATCCTCGACCAGAACGAAACCCAGCCTGCTCCTCGCGAGTCAATCTTTCCCGAGTTTTGAACAACCTACGAAGTATGACGGAAGCCAATAGCTTGGACGCAATCGGAAGTAGACTTATCCCCCGATAGTTGTTACAGGAACGACGTGAACCCTTTTTAAAGATAGGGACAACTATCGACTCATTCCATGACGTTGGTACACACTCTAGTTCCCAAACCTTTGTAAACAACGTCGTCAATTCCTTAGTCAAAAAGTCACCACCATCTTTAAAAAGAGCCGGAGGTAAGTCATCTGGGCCAGGTGATTTGTAACGCTTCAAGAGTTGGAGTTCCTTGCGGACTTCCTCCTCGTTTGGTGGATCAGTCGTCACCGGCCATGGAGGGCAGGACAGCCTGACCGATGTTGCCGGAGCAGCAGGCCAGTTGAACTGCCCTTCGAAAAATTCTGCCCATCGTCCAAGACGTCGATGGATGTTAGTGATTGGCATCCCATCATCCTCGCAGATTGTTTCACTCACACCAGACTTCTTGCTGCCAGTGGCTCGGATGAGCTGGAAGAGCTTCCGGTAGTTACCAGATGCAGCTGCTGCTTCCAGCTCATTAGCACGCTCCGACCACCAGGCTTCTCGGTCCTTACGCAAGCTTTGCCCAATTTCCCTACGTAACATCCTTCGTTTATGGTCAAACTCACGGTCACCCGGAGTAGACCGACGGGCTTCAATGAGTTGTAAGGAACCAGAAGAAACCCAGTGCTTAAAAGCGGGACGTTTCGCAAACCCACAACTGACTGTTCCCGCCATTTTCATGGCGTCATGCAATTGCAACCAATGCTCATCTATACTTTTCGGTGGAGTGGTAGCTAGCCTAGAAGCTAGCTCGGTTCGATACTTATTTGCAACAGAAGTTGCAACCAGCTTGCTAATATCAATCCTTTGGTGGTGGTCACTTCGTTGTCCACTGAAAAGTAAGGCAAGATTGGCGCAGACCAAGGCATGGTCAGAGTCCAGATAGGTACTCCAAAAGGAGCGGCAGTCTTTTACACAACCACGCCAGCGGAAGCTGATCGCGATGTGATCAATCTGAGTCCAGGCTTGGGATGCAGAGGGAGGACGCCAGGTGGCACATCGGCGATGACTGTGCCGAAAGTTAGTGCTAGCCAGAAACAGGTTGTGGTCTGTGCACAGTTGCAGTAGACGGTCCCCGTTATCTGACCTGCGACCAACGAGTCCCCATCGGCCACCTAAACGACTCTCTTCTGTGCCTAGACGCCCGACCTGAGCATTCAAGTCTCCGGCTAGTACTACAATATCTGTCGAACACACTTTCTGGAGAAGAACAGATATCTGGTGGTAAAACTCATCCTTGATTGCATCCGGGCTGCAATCTGTCGGGGCATAGGCGGAGATGACGAAAAGACATCGTTTCTCACGCCGATTTCTTCTCACTTTGATGGAACTTTCTAATCTAACAGCACATAGCCGACTGTTAATGGGGATCCAATCAACTAGTGCTGCTTCAGCTCTAGCGCTTAGTGCGACACCAACGCCAGCAAGACCAGACGAAGATGCCACAGGGTCCCCGGATAAGCGCACGTGAAACAAGCTTTTCGAAGCGACAGATGGAGATCGAATTTGTAGTACTTCGCCAGAGTCTTGAATACGGGTCTCGGATAGACAACAAACATCAATATTAAGACTTTCCAAAGACATAGCCAGCCCTATCTGTTGTCCGACCTGCACTAGTGTGCGAACGTTGAAGGCAGCCAGTTTGAATGGTGCACGTGGTTTCAGAAAAACTGCTTCAGTTCTCGTAATCGGTGGTAACATACAATTTTCAACCGGACAGTGACTCGAGAACGTTTAAATACAGTCGAATTTCCACCAAAGACGAGCCGCTGTATAAGTATAAAAAAGGGAGAACAATGTGGAAAATAATAATAATAATAATAATAATGACAATAATGGTAATAATGATAGTATTAATAATGACAATAAT